GGAGGCGTAGGGTGTTGGGTGGGATGTCAACAATCGCTACATAATTTTCAAGACCACTTTTCCTTAAGCACTTTTTAATGGCGTGACTTACTTCATTTGATATGAAGGGCAGCTTAAAGGGGATCTTACTTTCGTCTGAAATATTATTTTGGGAAACTACCCAGTGTTTTCCTCTAACCCGAGTGGCTTCTACTTCGTAACCATTGGAAATGGCAATTTTTCGTGCCAGGCTTCGCGATTCCTTCCTTTCCTCTTCTCCTGCACACACATTTTTAGCCGTACGATACATATTTTTGATAAGTGCTTTTTTCATGTGTGAAGGATGAGAGGAGAGGCAGTGGACTAGAATGTTTTCACTACTTGGCTTGCGATACCATTTTGTTAAATAGCCACTTACTGAGAGCTTTATTTGGATGTTCAAGAATGGAAGCCAGTTCTCGGTAGGTTTTTCTCGTGTAAATTTTATATACTCTGACTGTCGGTTTAATAATTCAAAGCACTCATCCATTTGTTCTTGTACAAATGGATGAGTGCTTTGAATTATTAATGCACAAATTAGAGGACCCAAAACAAAGGACCCGCATGGTGTGGTGGTGAACGCGTTACTCCCCGGAAGGGATAATAGCGCGTTCGTTCCCCACCATGGACACCTGCGGTCCAGAGTTTTGCAAATATCTCAGCAACGTTGTGGTTGTATTTCGCTTAGTAACCTGCCATGAAAATTATAGAAGGCAGAAAACAAAACGTTAAACTAAGACACTGTTTTAAGAGAGTCATTAGTTGCGCAATCGACAAACCGTGCATTTCTATTTTCTTTTCATGCTCTACGAGCACCTCGAGAATGGCTTGCATTGCGGAGTCACTGGACACGTTGGTATAAAGTGAAGTAACATCGAATGACTCCATTATATGCGTGCTGTTTGGTTGCACGCGCCTTAGGTGATACAGAAATATTTTGGCGTTAGGTAGATGGGTTGGGATGAATTTTAGCAACTGGGTTAGGATAAGGTTTAGGAACCACGTTATTCTATCCGTTGGCCCGCCTATACAGCTGATGATAGGTCTAACTTTATATGATGATGGGTTCGTTGACGTAATATCATCAGTTGAAGTACGCTTATGTGTTTTAATAAGTAAGTAAAGGACAGGGCAAATCGGGTGTTCGTTCTTAAGTCGAGAAATAACTGAAGGCTCTAAACCCTCGGCCTTTGCCGTGCTGACCCATTCTTGATTTAATTTTCGGTATTGATTTCTGTATTCCTTTTCAGAGGAGGTTCGATAGAGAGAAACATCACTGAGGTGCTCCTCTGTTATCCTAATATCCAACTGACTAGGAAGAACTACAAATTCTCCGCCTTTATCACTAATACAAAGCCTAACAGATTTCGAATTCAAAAGCTCTTTAACCTGGCGCATACCACTTTTTTGTTGGTTTGTGAGGTTGGAGCTTCTTTTTCGTTTTTGGTAGTGATTAAGTATGTGGAGAATCTCGTCCGAAACTAAACGAACTGTAGGGTCAATATCGCTATTTGGTAGCTCTTGTTTAAAGAAAGTTCAGGAAAGGGTATTGGTGGTATTTCCCTCCTTGGTACTACTTTACCTAACCTTTCTAGCCTAACCCTGTAACGTAGCTGATCCTGAAGTTCATGTAGACTACACGTGATCCTGCGAAGGATTGGTTTAGAAATGGGTTGACTAGGTGCAAAAGACGTAATTCTAACAAGGAACACACATTTTCCGGAAGGGTTATACCTCCTAGCACAGTAACACTGGATGTTCTTGGTGCGCAGTCTATTTATCAGTCAGATATCAATTTAATTTGAAACCCAATATATATGCCCGAGAGAAAGGCAAAACTAGGGCTTTGATGGGGTGAACTGGATGATCCATGAGCCTCCGGAAAAAGTAATCGCATGTTCGAATCTGGCCTGTGGTTCCCAGTTTTGCAAATATTTCAGCATTATAGCAGCACGTATGCATTTCTATATATAGAGTGAGAAAGGAGCAGCTTCTATTTCCTATAATTTACCTCTTATTTACAATTTCTACAAGAGGAGAGTACGGCAGAAAGCCAATAAAATTGACTTACATTAAAAATCGAAAACGGCACCAACATGCATCGTCGTAAGTCTCTCAAACCGTTCAGGAAGCGCACCAATTGATTTCACCTGGAACCGATGGAAGACATTACTGCTTGTATTTGCCTTTCAAGTTTCGCAGTTCATTTGCAAATTTGGTAGATTAGAGAATAAATGCGAAAGGCCTTCTAGCTGGCCACTCACGCCGAGTTGACCACGAAGACCCATGCATCTCTTTCAACTTTACAAAGGGGAATGACTCTGTGAGATCGCATGAACACGAGGGCACTTATTAATTACACTTTTAGTATTGTTGTTAAGGTCGACTCCAGGAAGTGTCGTAAATTCATTCCGTGAATATAGTCGCTCTGGCGCAGCTGCACAACCATGGGAACCGTGAGCGCGTTGCCAGATGTAAACGCTAGAAATGACGGTTAACTAATATGTCGTAAATTAAAAGACATCGCCTTTACAAATGCTCAGTTTTAATAGTGTTTCATCAAGTTTTAAATAGGCGAAAATTTCAAGGTGAAGAGTTGCGGAGTTTGTGTGATTGCTTAGTTCACAGTAATCTAATGAGACCAAGCTGCTTAGTTGTATCTAACACACGTCTCGTCGTTCCATGTCCAACAGTCTCGTGAGTGTATACACTGTGATTGTTGTGAAAACTTAAAGGATAAAGAAAAAACCCCGATAGTATTCCTATAGATGGCTACCTTCTGAGGATACTGTCGTAATGGAAATTGTTTGACATCCGACATAGTCATAAACGAATTCTAACATAGCGCCCAGCGATTTTTTTCCTCCACGTCAGCTAGAAATTGCAAAGAAGCGTTAGGTTAGCATGAGTATCCGTCCTATCTCTTTCGGTGTTATGTGTTTTGTAATAGATTTTCCTTTAATCCTTGCAGACGATTTCGAAGAACTTGTGGTTGAAGCACTGCCAGAACTTGGCACTGATAGAAACCGAATAATTCCCAGCCAACTAAACTTTGATTTGGCACGGGTAATAATGTGGATCTCCTGTTTTGTTCGTGCACTGATACGCATGCATTTGTTTATATTTGTCATTCTTAGCAACTAAACTTTGTCCATTCTAAAGTTCCTATTTTTTTTACTGTATTCGTATAACTTTAATGATGCTGAGATATTTGCAAAACTCCGGACCGCAGGTGTGGGCAGTAAATAATAAGTTAAAATTGTGATTATAACTGAACTGCAGCTTTCGGCTTAACTGGGTTCCTTGCTGATTTAGGCTCCCCAAACCAGTCCTGCTGACGGGTGATTGCTGATGGCAAAGGATCGACAGAGCTAGCTGAGAGACAGGCGAAACGAATGACCAGTATGGTGTGGTGGTGAACGAGTTACTTCCCAGAAAGGACAATGGCGCGTTCGCTCCCCACCGCAGACACCTGCGGTCTGGAGTTTTGCAAATATCTCATCATCATTAAAGTTATATTTCACAATATATACCCTACCGTTAAATAGAGTAGGGACGGTAAATAATAAGTTAAAATTGTATTCGTATACTTATAATGGAGCATGTAGTAATAAATCCTCCCAAAGGTTTACCGCCTCATCGTGGCTGGGAGTTGTTCTTGGGTGTTGAGCTGCATTGTATAGCGGGGCATCCTCCAGGTAAGGTCTTCCAAACTAAGAAGGACTCTCGTGTTTCCATCAAGAAGCCCAGCTAAGAGTAAACCAATACCAGAATCTGCCACCGTCCTTGTACCAAACCAGTGGCACGGTAGCAAATCTTCCTCTGATCCACGAGGGCGACGAACGCCTCTGGTGGCAGCGACCGGAGGCAGACTTTGGCCAGGCTGACTCGGGACTCCGAGGAACTACAATGTTAGCAAGCTAAACTCCGAAAAAGTGGAGACTATGCTGACCAGCATAACCAGTGAGGATGGCTATCCGATATCCATGTAGTAATAAAGATGAGCAAGTCATAGTTTAGTTCTTTCAATTTTATAGCAGGAGTTCGATATGCATGTTGAGGGGGCTGGAAATGTTAAGCTATAGCAGCTCGCTAGCCAGAGCAATGCTGAGTTCCGAAATTTTATAGCAGACTTGGTAGCTGTTATTTTTGACAATGCTAAACTTTAAACTGGGTTGTTGCAATTATTTCTGCAGAAAATTGGCGTCGATTTAGATAGGCTGATCGACTTCCTGAAGTTATGACAAAGCCGATGTGTGCTCAAGGCTGATTGAACAAATTTGCCTACATCTGCACAACTTTAGAAAGTTGGATGCAGTCCTTGTCTGCCTGTGTGGACGGACGGTCGTGTGTGTGTAACTCCGTGTGACAGTCTGCCCGTCTATCCGTCCACGTATCTTTACGTCATTTCAAGTTTCTATGCTTAACACCCTGTTTGTTTATGTATATTTCTATCCATCAAACTGTATATTCGTTTCTCTCTCTCCGTATGCTCTACTGTTTCTGTTCCTCTGTCCCTCTGTTTGTTTCTGTCTCTCTTCGTCCATCTCTTTCTCTCCTTCTCTCGCTCTCTCCCTTCCACTCTCAAACAAAATAAAACTGCATAATCTACCTAATGGATCAGTTTATTACAAGTAAAAAAAAGTATGAGGAGGGTTAAGGAGATAAGATTTGAAAGAGGTATACGCTTGTAAAATGTTAGTCCTAGTAAAAAATCAGTGTAGGTGCGATGTAAAAAAGAAATCTGCATATCCTGAAAGCATCTATAAATAAATAGTCACGAGTGAATAGAATAAAAAGAGTGCTTAAGATAACCGTAACTACAGACCCTGTCAGGTCATATGCAATGGTATTTCTACATCGGTAACAATAAAGAAGGACATGAGAATTTTTTTTTGACTTCTTGTTGCAGGAAAATCACTGAACAACGAGAAAATTCCAGAAAACGTTTCTTCATAGAGTTTAACAGAAAAAATGAGAGATTACTGTTTAAGTCGTTCCTTTTCAGAAAATGTTGCAGCTGACTGACCACTGACGCTATTATATCGATTTACGCTTACAGATTTATTACTTCCCTGAAAAAATAATGTTTTGGAAACGCTTGGATTCTTTTTACTCAAGGCATTTTTTGTAGATCTCATCTAGCACTTTAGAACTCTCTACATAACTTCTTTGAGCGATGTGAAATTCGAAGGTAGCGTACCTTAGATTTGCAGCATCGCCTACGGAAGATGCAAACGCATAGAATGAACAGTAAGCAAAAGGCGATTGTTGCACCGAATATCCATCGAGCCAAAACCCCTTTGTTATTCGTAATTCGTTCGATGAATGATAAGTTCTAAACGAAAAAACACTGACGCTATAAAAAATGTGCAACACAGATGGAACTTTGTCCCACCTGCTCCTTGTTTGAGTCAGTGCGATCATCTTTCACACTCGTCTTTACATCGTCGTGACTACGTTCAGATTCAGTTCTCTCGGTAACTTTTCTAGTTTCGTCAGCATTTTCGTGTCCAGTGGTCTCAGCCTTTTCTTCTTCCTCCAGTTCTTCACTTGCCTTGTCTTCCTTGGAATCGCTTGTCGTTTCCTCTTCAGTTACTGCTGTCGTCGTAAGTGGTTTGGATAGCCCTGAGAGGTTCACATAAATGATGAAACAATTAGCGGTTTCCCAACGTTTCAACTTTTATTTACTGTATACTCTTCATATTCTTTCATAACACCAGAGTATTACGTAAAATACTATGACAAGGCCATGGATCTCCCTTATATGAGGGATCGCGAAGTAGTTAGTCGCGAGGCTACGTGGCGCGTTCTCAGGTGGCGGATAGGAGGTTAATTGCGGACCAAAAGCGACCATTGCTTCCCTGAGAGGCACATTGGATCCAGCTGATGGACTCCCTCTTTCTGCTGCTCTGATTTGACACATACTTTCTGTATTTGCTAGGCGTATTGATGCATACGTGTATGGGTGCGTTCTTGTTTATGCGGATTGTATTCTACGAGTCAGTTCGGCCAAAAATCTGCAATCAAGTGACTGGAAGTATATGGGAGGCGGGTAGGAGTCGCCTCCAATAAATAGGCTCCATGTCCACTCCGGAAGAGCCTGGCAAGCTACCCGTGAGTATACCCAACCCCCACGTTCAGAGCCCAGCAAGCTATACGTGGGTATCAAAAATACTAAACACAGTAAAAAAACGAGCCTCATTACCCTGACTCCGAAAGAGCCCCAATTCGACAGCGTTGAGTAGGACGAGTACGGAGAGCCTCCTAAAATCTCAGGGCCAGTGGAAGCTGCCTGAATTACAAAGAACTAAGGTGACAAACTGTGCCTACAATGCACGTACACTTGCATCCGAGTCTTCGATAGAAGACTTGCTCATACAAGCAAGAAGGATAAGGTACGTCTTCTGCCTGGCCGAGACGAGACGACGCCACCCATTCAACGCTGTCTATGACACCGGAAAAGAACTGTTCCTCGAAACATGCGACAGTAGACGAGTCGGCGGCGTCTGCGTGCTCGGGAGCACGAGTATGTTCATGAACATTGATTCATTCGAACAACTAACAACCCGAGTCGGGCGTTCACCGTTAAAAAGATATGGATCAATTCTGCCTTTGACAATCTTCGACGTTTACATGCCGACATCAAATTATGACGAATAAGAAAAAGCCGAAGGGTTCTATATGGACTTGGAGGAGTTCTACAGAAAAGGCCATACATTCTTCAAGGTTACCATTGGAGATTCTAACGCCAAGATTGGACCAAGAAGAACGTCTGAAGAACGTCACATTGGGACCCACGGGTTGGAATGGAACGAACAGGATGAGCAGCTTTCTGAGTTTATCATGGCGACCAAGACCATCCATGGTAATTCAAAATTCCAGAAGCCCCACCTTCAGCACTGGACGTGAGAATCTTCCAGTGGAGTGTACCATAACGAAATAGACCACATCATAGTAAACAGAAGGTTCCGCCTAACCGATGTCGCTGTTGTCCCAAAATTCTACACGGAATCAGACCGTCGTCTTCTTCGTGCAAGATTCTATTTCTCGCGAAAAGGAGAAAAAGCCGCTAAATTCCAAAACCGAAGTCTCAGAACCACCGTAAACTGGGAGTTATTCAATTCAATTAGTCGGCTGTTGGGAAGATACCGTTGTCGACAACATCGACGAAGAATACGATCGGCTCATTCAACATCTTCACATTAGTGCTATGAAAGCTGAGAGTTCGAAAGTCACCAAGAGACGTCTGTCTCCAGAAACACTCAAGCTGATATGCCAGAGTGGAATCGCACGAGCTGAAGGCAACCGCGAACTAACGTCCGAACTTGCAAAACAATGCAGACAAGTAATAAAAGAAGACCTTGAAGAGAGAAGAGTACCAGTAATGCTCGAAGCTGCAGAGGCCGAGAAAAGCATTCGCAAAGCCCACCGAAGCTTCGCCAATTACAAGACCAAAATGATTGCACTCCGGCGCCCAGAAGAAACAGTTACAGCGTCCAGAAAGGCTGTGGAGAAAAACATTCGCGAATACTGCTCAAATCTCTTCGATAGCAACGTACACCTTCCGTCATATGAAATAAAGGAGCTTGGATATGTTGTACCTCCGGTTCTCTCCTCCCAAATCCGACATGCCATTTCGTCGGTCAAAAATCGAACAGCGCCAGGACCGGACAGGATAAGACCAGGACACCTGAGGAACCTTCTGCCAGTCTTAGTAAACACACTGGCTCGGCTCTTCACACGTTACCTGTCCGAATGTAAAGTCCAGACTCAGTGGAAAACCAGCAAGACCGTGCTAATGCTCAAGAAGGATGACCTACACGATATAGGCAACTATCTCCCAATCTACTTGCTGCCCGTCTTCTACAGACTGTTCACTCGAGTCATCCTAAACGGGATTGACAGAACATTAGACAGAGGACAACCATGTGAGCATGCAGGGTTTCGAAAAGGATTTAATACGATGGACCACATTCACACCTTAACAAAGCTCATTGAAGTATCGCGAGATTACAAAAGACCGCTCTGACTCACTTTCATCGATTTACAGAAGGCGTTTGATTCAATTGAGATAGAAGCAGTCATGGAAGGCTTGATAGTGAAAGAGTCGCTAATCAGTACATAAAGATTCTTCATGAGCTGTACGAAAATTTTACAACCAAGATATCACCATTCCAAAACGATATTAACATTGATTGCAAAACAGGAGTTAGGCAAGGCGATACCATCTCGCCAAAATTATTTACCGCCACACTCAAGAACGTCATACGAACATTGGAATGGGATAATATAGGATTGAAAACCGATGGTCGACAGTTAGATCGTCTTGACTTTGCTGATGACATCGTCCTCATAACATCAAACATTAGCCGAGCGGAACGTGTGATTGCCGACTTTGATAAAACCTGCGGAAGGACTGGTGTTCGACTGAATCTCACAAAAACGATGTTCATGAGGGAGGAATTGATTTCGCATGCCCCATCCACGCTCAATGGGACGAATATCTCCGAATTCTCCAGTTATTTCTATCTAGGTCGGGAAATCAACATGTTAAACGACTTAGCTCCAGAGCTGAGCAGAAGGAAACGAGTGGCCTGGTGAGCTTTCAAGAGCATCGAGGATATAGTGAAGAGGATAAAGAAAACCGTTCTCCGTGCCCACCTTTTCGACTCAACGGTACTTCCTGCTCTAACGTATGCGTCAGAAACCTGGTCGATGCTTAAGCAGGATGAAATGTTACTCAGCGTTATTGAACGCGCAGTCGAAAGAACGATGCTAGGAGCATCCCATATCACGCAAGTAAGGGAAGGGATCCCAAGCTCCGATCTGCGTCAACGGTCGAAAATCAAAGATGCTGTTCTGTACGCCACACAGTTAAAGATAAGGTGGGCCGGATACGTAATGCGTATGAATGACAACCGATGGACAAGAGCCGTTAGTGAATGGATTCCTCGGGATGTAAAACGTACTGCAGAAAACCACCGACTCGATGATCAGAGTTCTTCACGAAGAGCCTAAAAAAAGATATGATGTTTGACGAGTCTCTAAAGCGAGTAGAACCCACTGGGCTACTCCTGCACGTTACAGAGAAAAATGGAAGATTTACTGGCGCCCGCTCAAGTCATTCGACGATCAATGGGACTACAGGTGATACAGGTGATACTACCACAAGGATGCTGAGATATAAACAAAACTCTGAACCTCAAATAGGCTTCGAACCAGGGATTACCCTAACAGCGCTAACGTGTTGGTGATTGCTGACAGTACTATTAGTGTAGAAAACTGGCTGAGAGAAAGGTGAAACAGGGACCTCGTTTGGTGCAGTGGATAGACTGAACTCCCGGAAACAGTAATTGCGCGTTTGAAATTCGTTTTCTGTGCAGTGTTTTGCTCACATTGCAGCTCCTTCACCTTTTATTCTAAAATTTGTTACACCTATTAACCCTTAACCGATTACTGCTTTGCCGTGGCCTTCTCTTTCGAAGTCGAACTGTGATGTAGAGTCGGATATAATTTACTTATTTAGGTTATGAAGGCTTAGGAAATGCTGCTCAGCTTTCCATTCGGAATCCCGCTAAGACCAAGGTAATGTTAGAAAATACTACCGTCCTAGTAGAAGCTTATGTGGCAACGGAACAATTTTTTCTCAGATTCATAAGCACCACTGCGGATGGCGACAATCTACTAAAGATCTACTAAAGCCGCTTTTCCTTTATGGAAGAAAGGAATATACTAGCCTCGGTACTCGGCGCACTGGCCCTCCTTTCCAGGATGTCCGGTGGAGAGAATATCGGTGGAAAGGGATCAAATCTTAAATTCTAAAAAGGTCATTAAACAGGATGGAAACAATATGTTTGTGAGACTGTATGGAGGCTAATTCACGTACAGTGACGAAACCGTCCTCTCTATGTTCTGTAAGACTGCTCTTTAAACTTTCTCAAAAATAGAACATTACATTGAGTTACACACGATCGCCTACGAGAAAACCAGACGGCAAGGGTACTGTGGATAATTAAATCATGGGATCATTTTTATCAGCGGAAAGACGTTCACGAAACGAAATGCCGCCTCCGTATGTACACACGTATATATGAAATGTACTCTTTCAACAACCTGTTGTATATAACCACGAATAAAGCGGGATGTTACCATTTCGCTTTGATATTCCCCGGCTTGAACCTCCACGACGAAGGAAGACCAATACCATTAACTTCTAGGCAACCACTACTTCTGATGTTAGTAAATTAGATACCTTCATGGATGAGCCAAAGGAAATAATCTCCAACGAAAATTCGTAGTACACTTCAACTCTAGAACACAAAACGCCGTCGGGATAAGAGGAGAAGGGGGTTTTAAAGAATTTGGGGTGGAGAACGTACCTTTCCAGCCCATAGCAAACTTCCTATATGGAAATGAATGAGGAAAGCAATCTGCTTGGAATAATTTCCTTAAATGAGCGAAAGATGAAGGAATTTTCAAACAACTTCAAGACTGCCTTGAATACGCAGTAAAGGAAGATGGATGCAATAGAAACATACTTCGTTTAGTTCTTAATAAACGCGGCTGTAGAAGATTATTATGCGAGTACTTATAGAAGAAAAAACACTATAGGCAGCTCAAATAAGCTTAGAGAGCTACTGACGAGACATTCACGGATACAAGATGTAATCCGCAGTTAGACTTTCAGAAACATGTCTACGCGGCGGAAAATAGCGCCGTAAGTTAAGCGAGTCAGATTCGCATGTTATATAACATGGCTCGAAAGTCTTTCTATACAAGCACAATAAGTAGATTACTAAAGGTTTGTGTGGATTTAAATAAACGAAATTCTCAAGATTTCAAATATATTTGGGTTTCCGCTGAAATAAATTGAGATGTTTAACGTTTTGTTTTCTGTCTTCTATAATTTTCATGGCAGGTTACTAAGCGAAATACAACCACAACGTTCTCAGCAAGTTGTGGTTATATTTCGCTTAGTAACCTGCCATGAAAATTATAGAAGGCAGAAAACAAAACGTTAAACATTGTGATTTCAACTGCAGCCATAGCTTAACTGGGTTCTATGCCGATTTGCGCTCCCCAGATCAACCCCGCTGACGGGTAATTGCTGTGGCAAANACCCTGCCATGAAAATTATAGAAGGCAGAAAACAAAACGTTAAACATTGTGATTTCAACTGCAGCCATAGCTTAACTGGGTTCTATGCCGATTTGCGCTCCCCAGATCAACCCCGCTGACGGGTAATTGCTGTGGCAAAGAAAGATCGATAGAAATAGCTGAGAGACAGGCGAAACGAAGGACCCGTATGGTGTGGTGGTGAACGCGTTACTCCCCGGAAAGGACAATAGCGCGTTCGTTCCCCACCATAGACACCTGCGGTCCAGAGTTTTGCAAATATCTCAGCAACGTTGTGGCTAAATTGAGATGTTCCACAAACATTGGTGTCTCACATACCTGCAAATGTTCCATCGTTATTTTTACTTCCTTCTTCTGGATCGGCGTCGGTGCTCACATTGTCTTTTTCTTCTTTCTGGAAGCAGATTTCTATAAGTACTCCATGGATTGATCACGAAAACAGCTTCGACTAGGCGACTGATGTGAAGGATATGTATAATTCCAGTTCATGCGCACCATCTCCACAACACGTTTGTGTTCTGTTTAGGTGCTGCTGTAATATTATTAGAAAACGATTAAATAAAGACCACTACCTCATTAACCTTGCTTTTCGGTGTTTTTGAATCATCAGGAAACTCATTAGCGTCGTACTCACTGGTATAGGCGCCCTCCGTGTGAGAATCTGGGAAAAATTCCCGTCTTACCAAACGTTCAAAAAACAATTCTCGATCATGACACCTTCTTCATTTTAATAAAAAAAGTTTATAGACCAGCTTTGTAAGCAAAGAGCTTATGGATGGAATTCCAAAGGAATTTCAATAAGAACACGTCGAGTGGATAGAATAAAAATGTTCCTGCTTCTCATACAAACACAACTGTAATGTGATCACTAACCAGTCACTGATGGAAGATTCTCCACTAGCTCGAAATCCGATTTCAGATCATATCTGAGAATCTCAGACTCTACGGATGTCTTCATGTCACGAATCGACGTGCCTAATTGAGCCTAAATTTTCTCGTTACGCGAGGTCAGCTTAAGCCTAGGTGTGCGCAAGCGAATTATATTCGATCAACTCATGTGCATACTAACTTTGCTTTCTGGATAATTCTAGAAAAAAATTGAGAATATTGGAACTTTCTGAGCACAAATATGGATCTATGAAATCAATTCATTCTATTTCAAAGACTCAAAGTTGGGGCTGGATTCCAAATTAAATCTTGTAGCCCCATCCCAAAGTCCGACTCTTACTATCTTAAGCTTTAGTGGTCTCTTTCGTTCACTATCCTATCCTTAAACAAACACTATGCTCTAATAGAGGACGGGTATGTTAGCAGCTACCGCATATCGCATCGTGATCGCTTAGGTTTTCGCTCACCTTCGTGTCCAATTGTCTTGGTTGATGAACATCTACAAAGTAGTACACTTCCACTTCTGGTGCTCCAGCAAAAATATCGCGGTCGATTTCCACTTCCTCTGGCAATTCGTCGTCATACTCATCATAGTTCTGAGACAGAGATAGATATCCGCCTACCGGTTTGATACAGGTTCAATTTCAAAAAAAAAAAGCCAAAATAGTACTGAGCAAAAGCCAAGAAACTCTCTCACATCACTGCTTTCATAGTTTTTATCTTTTACTTCTTCTGTTCCATCGTATGTCGTGTTCAGCGGTATGGCAATATTGCAGAAATGAACATAATCATCCGAAGTGACGACTGTACCCTCACAATGCTCGGGATTCTATAAATATACAAAAAATGAGGCTTTTCTGCTTTTTATAGTTAAAGTCCAGGATTGAGGTTAATGCAGACCTATCAATAATAAACACGTTCAAAATCATAGTGGGCGCGCAAAACGCAGAGGTTAAAGGCGCCAACCAATGCACACAATACGGTCGTTTGTTCTATCCCGCACGCTAGATAGACTAAGCCTTTCATTCTTTTGAGGTTGACAAATTAATAATAAACTTCCCTGGTAGAATGGAAGACATCGGTAGGCTACGGCATATCATAACATAAAGAAATCATGTATTTAGTGATATCTAAGATTCTTAATGGAATCCCATGTAATGCGCATCCCTAAGAGATTGATCAATACTGGTTTCCTTCTAATTCTCACCATTTAAAACATCGTGGTCAAATTTTCAAAAAGTTACTCACCTTGACAACGAAGTCGTATTGGAAAGTGAAATTATCCACTTTTAGCTCCTTCCAGTACGGTTCTAGCCAAAACGGTTCGATAGTGAAAACGACGGAGTTCTTTTCACCTATGGCTAACGGTCGTGGTGGTGCTTGTAGGGCTAAAGCGCCAGTATTTACTTTTTTTCCCACTACCATGGAATCTTCACATTTACAATTTCGTTATACAACAGCGTTGTTCATGCTTTTCACGATAAAGGTTCTAAATACTCCAACTCGATTGTCGTTGTTTCTTAGGACTTCTGATACCATTATTACTCAAATAGCTTAAAAAATAAATTCAACCATATCACTTTTAGTGCTGTTAGCTACTGATAACTCTAGTGCGCACGAGTGAAACCATTGGTCTCCTTCGCTCAACAGTTCCACCAAATGAGCTCCAATCGCACGAAGATCATGGAGAACAACAAACATTTCCCATGAATGCCTTTACTTCCATTGTTTTTGACGTGGAGTGGATGCCCTTCCAAACTCCGCTATCGTATCTAACCGATGGAAATTGGAAGCTGAGTTAACCCTTTATTGTAGATCACAGATCGATACCCAGAACATTTGCGTAATATGTAAAGACGAAAGTCGTTATGGATGTTTTCATACTGAAGGCTCTCTTGTGGAGCACAAGAACTCATAAATCATACCGCAACTTTGCACCGAGATTAAGTAGAGGAAATGTTGCTAAAGATTCTATATCATCTCGCCACAATTATTCAACCCCGCTCAAGAAAACGTTGACTGAGAAGTGGAATAATGTGGAAGCGAGTGACAGTCGCTGGAAGACAGCTCATCATCATTCTACCGATGACGGCGCTCTTACAGCGCAAAGCAATAGTTCCAGCAGCACCGAAACAGTCCACAAACCATTCAGCTTTTGAACTGCACAGCTCAAATGACTCAAGAGTAAGCAGTAAGCTAGAAAGGGAATGGCGAAATTCCAAACCACGCCAGAGATTGAACTTAAGCGATGTCGTCGTAAAGGCAGCATGTAAACAGCTCAATGAGATTGAGATGTTTTGAACCTAAAACACTAGCCTCTAGACGAAAACCGTTAATTTGTGTAATTCCATGAAATATCAACCATGGAAAGAGAAGATTACTAAGCCGACTGCCGGATTCTCCTCGGAGAATTGAGTGGAAAAATTTTATACTTTTTGAATCCTTGGCGCGAGCAGCCGAAGTGTAAGTGGAACTTTCTTGATGACGATAGACAACAAGAACGAATGAATCCGTTGCTAGAATCGTAAGAGGCTTAGCCCAAAAATAGATCCCGCATTCAACAAACCACATGCTATTTAAGTGTCATCATGCTTTAAGTATATAAAATTTTTCCACTGTGTCGATGACGGATGAGTGATCGTTCTAACAATGCAACAGCCATAGCTGATAATACAATGGCATGAAACGAAACCATTGCACAGTTCGAAATAAACGATACCCAACAGCGATAATTTCGGTGGATGACTACGTAAAATACTGCTTTAAAACGTTGCAAAAAATGAGCCAAGAAAGTGAACACGGAGCCAAATGGAGATGATCACTAGGTAAGTATGTCTCATAGATCTGTTTCATATGAGAGATTTCAAATCATCAAGAACAGATATGGTGTAAAAGGTGGATCAAAGCCTCCAGAAGTTAGACTCCTTGGCCTTGCTGTGCCAAATTCATTCCTAGCTCCCATACTCAAGTAATGATACTCATGCAGACGTGCGTAGGGTGCTGATATGAGAATAGACATTTTAATGACTTACACTAATTCGATTAGGACAAAAGCCTTAAATCAAGCGATTGGAAAGTAGAGGGTAAGCGATTTAGGGCCTTGGTAGTGATCTAATGGTATAAACTAAGGATAGCAAACTCTCCACCCTGGCAGGACTTCGTCAGCAAAAGCTCTACTTCTGCTCAAGGACAGGACAACTGTCTCACCCAAGATTACCAAGATTAGTCTCTAAGCAAGAAGACTACGTGCAGCTGACCCTACTCAAAGAGTATGGTGTTCTTCTTATTTTCCTGAACGAGAAATCTCACCCGTACAAGACGAATGGGCACTTTCACCAATGGTAGTAGTAGTTTTTAAATGATTAACGCAATATGTGGTAGCATAGCAGAAAATAATCAAAACAAAAATTACACGCGCCTTATGATACTGTAGTATATAACACAATTATTTTGTTACACATAAAAATAGACATCAACATTGCAAAACCTAAGTCAAATACATCTACAATGCTCTCGTGACGTCCGTAGAAATAGCCTGAAATAGAAATTGCGAAGGAATTTTTGGATAGGCGAAACATATTTGTTTTCTCTGGTGCTTATCTTTTATCGGATAACACCTAGTAGAAAAACAATGAGCAAGAGAGATAAAGACACAGAAAGAAAGAGAGAAAGAAAAAAAGAAGACATAAATGTGGAATTGCTTTTCACGACTACTTGTCTTTGACCAAACACCTCCTGTCTCTTATCATTTGTCACATTATCGGATTCCTGCCCAATGCCATTTACCAGATTATCACTTCATAAATACTAACCGCTCAAGTAACAAATGGTGTAATGCATTGTTGAGATATTAGCTGGATATCGAGTATCATCTAGTCGATCGTGACAATTGATAGGAATCGAATGTGCACAAGAACATGCGGTTCCTTCATCTACGGCCTTCCGACTTGCTCGACTTCGAACAATTCTCATGCAAACACTGAAAATTAACGATGAGATAAGTAAAAGCTTCACGCTTCCTTCAGTAGCATTGCTAATAAACATTTCCTAGCTACAGCGCAAATCCTCACAAACCCTGTAAAAGTACGAAGATTTAGTGAAAAGTAACACTAGGCATAGATTGGCCAGAAGTACGGTCCTTCACAAAAAGCAACCATCATACTTACTTGAATGGCTCATCCTCACTGGTTGTGTGGGCCCCAGCATAATTTCCACTTTTTCGGAGTTTTACTGGTTAAGCCATTCTGGTTCCCTGGAGTCCCGAGAACAGCCTGTACAAAATCTGTCACAGGTTGTCACCACCACAGGCAGTCACCATCCTTGTTGATCAGAGGAAGGTTTGCCACCATGGGAGTAGTTTGATTCCAGAACGGTGGTGGACTCTGGTATTGCTATACTCTTAGCTGGACTTCCTGATGGAAACCCCGCTCTGCTTCTCAGCTTGGGGTCCCTACTGAGGAGATGAATCCCTCGCTGTATATCGCAACCCGACAACAAGGAACACCTCTTACCCGGCGAGGCGGTAAACCACTGAGAGAAAAAAAATGAAAAAAAAGAAAAAAATAATGAGTGTGCCAAAAAAGCATGCGTAGAAAAATAAAATAAAAAAATATCCGGCATTGACCAATTCTTGAGGGATGCCCTATCCATTCGACTTTATACAGTACCGTAGAGGTAAGTGAATATATGTTTAGCCAGTATAATGACATCCAAGGGGTTACTAATGTCTGCAGTCAGTGTTACTATCCTCCCAGACAAGTCTGGTATCAATTTGACAATCCCGGAAGAATAGAAAGCCAGGTAAACTAGGAAAGCTCGAAACGCGGGACTAGCTCTAGTAAATCACTTGTTCGAGATTGACTTAGGTTCAGGCTGCAATAAAATATTGCTATACGTATGAAATCTTATACTCATGGAACCCATGGTCATTCAGTCCCACTGGTGACGACAACGTAGATTGAGATGCTGCGTACTGCGTATTTCATAGTTTCATTACACTGCACGGGTACAGTGCTCAGAAGTGTTCTGCAATATTCACGTGGTCGTTGACTCGATCCTGTACCCCAGGTTCATCAAGCCTTGTTTCCTTCTGGGGTAGCAAAACTTGTGGTCTGGGAGGATAGGAAGCACTGACTTGATACATCGTTATTCACCACTTGCCAAAGTAGAGGTCAGATATGAATTAAAGCACTTCTAATGATGCTCGATGAAGTTGAATACATCCGCCTCCCTCGGGAATTGATCAGCGTTGAAAACGTTATCATTTCAAATAGTTATATTGCATTGAATCCACTTTCCACATGTCTCCTGTAAAAAATCTGAACAGCTATCAACCGCAAGGATCGAGATTGTAGCTGTGTGACGAGTAAGGAAAAATCTCCTTGGCCAAGACAATTTTTTTGCTCGTTCTGCCGAAAAAGTTAAGAGCGAGCTTGAATCCACACAGTTATTTACAGTAAAACTCAACTGTGCTCCTCGAACTGAAGGAAAGAATCCCATTGTTTAACTCTGCTCACAGATCATTATGCCGAGAGTATGGACTGTTTTCTCGGAGATTCATGTACCTCAGTGAAGCCTGCACGGTGACAATGCATTGCAACTTGCAAATTGAGTTAAAGTGGAGTGCCTTTTCTCCGTCATCGACGGTGATAAGTTTGAATGACTTTTACTGCTATCCCATCACAAAGGTTACGAACTAGTGCCATTACAAACACCGTCGTCATTTTCGACAAAAGTTAGAGCAATCGTCGCCTGAAATTTGACCTAGCCTATTGAATGGATTCCCTAGTCAGCCGAGATATGGGACACTATATGCTTAACTTCAAATAGCCGCATGGTCACACAGAGCTCTCAATCACGTTTTGCTTGAACAAATCCACTTTAATCTCAATTGGATGTACACAGTGGAGCTCGTCCTTGAACGTGGCGGCTCGCTTTTGGAGAAGGCTAACCATGTGATCACCATCGTCCGAAAGAACACATACCACGTTGAGTAGTACAGCATAAATTCAGTATTGTGCTTCGACTACTGACTGGTTGATTCGATCAGAAGTCACTTATAGATTTCGAAATATGCAGTTATACAACCTTGCTAGCTTATGTGCCACCCACTCGCGTCACAAAAGAGTAAAGTTTAGAAAAAAAATGTCGAAAAAAGGAAACAAGTCCTGAGTTTTCGAAGCTTTGTAACAGGACTTGAACAGAACTGAGCTTTATCGAGTTACACTATTTTTTCCACAAATAAGTGTCCGAACTTTGCCAAACCTTCAAACATCTCCAGTTGTAGCCCTATATTTCCTCACATCTATCTCCTGACACAATTACTCGATCTGTAGAAATGTCCTGAAAGAAGAAATCCTATTGCGAAATCCTATTGAAACATGTGCAATCTTATCAGCGCTCGTCGACGAAGAAGTAGATCCGTCATCTACATGGATAGGAGCAGACTTTTATTGGAACTGCAGCACAAATATACAGCCTTTTCATCAGCCCCTCATCACACCCATAAAAAGAGGGGTTCGACAAGGCGATACCCATATCGCCAAAGATGTTCACTGTCGCACTGCAGTGGATAACGAAATCACTCGACTGGGACGATGTGTATTGACGGAAGATCCCTATCAAACCGTTGCTTCATGGATTTCATCGTCATCTTTTTGAAGAGTACCAGTGAAGCACAGAACTCAACGAAGTGGGAAAAAGATTGGATTGCGCATAAATTGGACGAAGACCCAGTCCCTGAAGAATCCTTGGTGCGAAGGTGAACAAACAGAATTGTATGGCTCTCTGATCACAGGAACCACCTCACACGCTCACCTTGGACGTTCAATGAACATGGAAAACAAAACTCGCACTCGCAACGTCCAGCCCGAATGCGCAGCTAAGATATTCGAAACCTATCTCATATTTGGGATTCAGAAGATTATACATCAATCGAAGCATGAATAGACCGGTTATACAACAGGAAGAACAGTGCACCGAACTTCAAAAGAATGGATGCAAACGACCTACAGAAAGACCACTCAAACGATAGGTGGACGTGTTCGTGGCTGCCATCATCCATTCGCACTCGCAGATTGCAACAATTATAAGATTACACAATGGGCTTTGAGGACGTCATCGTGTTCTAAGCAGACCACCACCATGGAATACGATTGTGCGAGACAGAAACGAGTGGAAGTTCTTCTGCGGCCCGCAGAACTGTAGAAAACGGGTCATCCAAGTATCCAAGCAAGCAAATTGAAATTTCTCCAACTTATCTCATTATTTTGAGCAATGCGTAAACTGGCGAAATTGATATCTGCAGATGACGTTAACGATGTGCGACGTTCCCAACGATTAACCTTGATGTTTTCAGAATCTTTGGATCCGGTTTCTCATAACAAACAGCAATGAGAAACTCAAAAATAATTTGAAAGTCTTCCCAAGGAATATCCAAGGAGAATGATTGGTGTAAAACATCGCAATAGAGTGTGCTTATTCTTGAAATGCTGGTGTCCTTTACTTTAAACCGTAGGTGGTGTCGAAGTTCTTCTAAGTTACCAGTGGTTCCAAGCATGCTCGTCCCCTAAGAAACAAGCTGGAATAGCGGATCTCTAGGAGTTGACTCTAATATTGGACGAACATTCCTTAAAAGTGACATGTCGCTACAAAGCAGATGTGGTCGTTTTCAAGGCAAATTTGGTTTCGCGACACTTCTCGGCTGCCAGTTGTCATTTTTTTTACTTGGAAAAAGAGGTCTACAGAAAACACGCAGATTAACGTGAGATAACCACAATGATGTTGAGATATCTGCAAACCGCATGTGTCTGCGGTAGGGAACGAACGCGCTATTATTCTTTCCGGGGGCTAACGCGTTCACCACCACACCATGCGAGTCATTCGTTTCTCAGCTAGTTCTAACGTGAGATGCTTATGAAAGAAGCATGAGATATCTGCACATCTACGAAGGAATTTGATCACCTAGAAAATGGAAAAGTTTAGTTGAAAGAGAGAGTTCAAAGAAGAAAGACAAAACCAAGAAGAAGGAAAGGAAGAAAAACGGGGATGTTAGTGCAGATAACATGTAGAAGAATATAGGAAGGCTCTGCACTTCAAAACAAAAAAAGGAATAGCTCAATCTTTAAACTACTGAGAGAAACTCGAAACACATTTAACATTGCCTAATCAATAATTGGTCAGCTACTGATTGATCCACTTACCTGTAACCATTAGTTGTGCATTGATTACAATCTTGACATTGCTCGCTGCTTAACGTTTCCTCATCAGTCAAATTTTTTACTCCTAAAATTGAACAGTCGATAGGTTTGGAACTATCAGCGTTCAAAAGCTACAAAACGTTGATGAATTGAGACCTTAACCACAATCAAATAGTGTCGCTTTGAAACCGTCACCTGCGTATGCACAATTTCTTCGGCTATTAATCCGATTATTTATTTGAAATATTGTCAAACAATCCATTTTCGAACATAATCGATTTATCGACCGAAATAGTTACGATCCAATCGATAAGCATTGCTTTATAAAATGCACAGAGCTAAGTCTCATTGTCCCCTGATTTCAAATGTCGTCATAAAATAAACACAATGCATAGAGTTGCCTGTCACGGGCGAATTGTTTGAATAAAGAAATTAAGACCGTTGAAAAACTGTAACTGAGCCGACATTTGACAACTTATTCGGGTTACGCTATGAAGGACTGTGTGTTCTGCGTGGCTAAAGCCAAAGATCACACGGCTTTCTAAGACTGCTTTACCTAAAATGGGATATCATCTCGCAATGAAACACTTTCTATAGTGAACCTTTTAGAAAGCGATGGGTAGTATACAATAACTACACTATGTTCTTAATGTCAACACAGATGACCAAGGTTGTGACTCGTTTAAACGAAAGAAAATGGCCTTTACACAAATATATACAACTATGTGTATCAGTGCATGTATATGTATGTATATATACGTATACATATATACA